AGGAGTAACACTTAAAACAAAAAGCTTCTCTGCATTTATGTGGCACTGCACTAATTGATGTAATAATTCAAGGAGGATTTTACAAGACAGCTCTGTAGGGGCTGGACAGGAATACGAGACCCGAGGGCTTAAGCATAAGTTTAAAATCCAACAGCAAATGAGATCACACACCTACGCAAACCACCTAATATACACACAAAGCGCTTATGTTTTAGCACCTCACACAAGTATGATGCCAGGACTCAAAGGATGGCTACTCTTTGCACCAGTGTGAAACATATGCCTCCTAAAAGTACAGTAGCCAACATCCAGAGAAAGACAGCACAACTGTGAAATTACTACTTTCATTTCATATCAGAAAGAATAAAAATAAAAAGATTATATGGTCTGTGACATGAGCAATATTTAAATGACTGAGAAGAAGAAAACAATACTTTCTGGAATTAATAAAGCCTATAAATAAAGAGAAGAAAACAGAAAGAAAAGGCTGTACATAAGATGCAAAGATGAGTATAAATGTACTGGATGGATAGCCTATACAACATTACAAACCACGCAGGTTCTAATTACATTCATTTTTAATATATGGAGCTAGGAAAATAGGATCTACTCTACAAGAGATCTCTTTATAACAGCAAGATTTTCTCCACAAGAGACAGATAAGCGACAGAAAGAGGAGACATTACTATACAGAGGGTAATGGTATGGAATTAATTCATGTAAGGGGACTGCTTCATTAGAAAGCCGGCTTTAATTTTGTACTCCATGACCATTAAAAAAAATGAAAATAAATTAAAAAGAATACTATTAATAAAAACAAACAAACAAAAACGCAAAGGCTGATGGTTACCATTTGGAGAAATGTTATCATTACCTCTTAAAAACTAAAGAAGACCCACTATTATGAGAAAATAATTTGCTGATTAAATTAGCTTATGATATGCCATTTAGTTTACGAAAAAGCTATTTCTAAAACTTGCTTTATCCGCGTTTTGGCCGCTCCGAAAGATAATGGGAAAACAGCCAAAGTGAGGTGAATGTGTGCATTTAATTGCCTTGTTTGAGAATGTTTTTAGGGGCAGCACTACAGCTGTTCTGAAAGCCTCACTGCTCCACTTTACTTGAAAAGCATTGCCACATTCATCCAGGCTACAAGTATTGGTCTGTTAAACATTCTTGACTGAGCTCATACTGTATTTCATTGTTCTTGTAACAGTCACAATAAAGTATTCTGTTCTATTGTGACGAAGATGATTTATGTGAAAAAGGAAAAGCCTCTTCTGAGTTGTGATATGTGTAGTTTGTAGCGATTTTAGAGAAAAAGAGGCCTTACTAAGAACAACTTAATGTGCACATGGCTGTCACAGCCGTGTCAAACCTTAATACTCAAACACTGTGGCATTGATGCGCTGGCTACAAACCCCCCACAAATCTCCTGCCTATGATTGGCGACACTTGTTGACTGTGCATCTTTTATTTTGAAAAGCCACCAAAATCCAAAAATCCAGGCTGCCAGCCTGCCCCCTGATAAACACTCTCAATACATGACTAGCTCTAAGTCCTTTGTTTAGTGCAAAGAAAAACAAAACAAAACACACTGTCGAATATTGTTTGTTAAGTGTAGGGAGAAAAAAGCCATTTTGACCAGGTTTTATAAGGTGCTGGTGTAGGTAATGTAAAACGTAAAGAAGCGGAAACAAGTTCAAAGTCATCTCTTAAAAAACATAGACAGCTTAAAGTTACAAGCCAGTCAGTTTCTGATGTTTGTGCTGTTACAGGAAACAATGATTCAATCTGTCAACAATACATGACTGTTAACTTCTAGAGAATGACTTCCAACTATTACACTATATTCCGACGCGTCCCTTTGAGGAACAGTCTAAGAACTGAACATTCGAGTAAGTGAAGATAGCTGTGGTCGCGTTACAAAGGCCTGCAATCACACAGGAACAAGACATTCACATTTCCAAGTACAGAGCCAAAGATGGGCTTCTCCTGATTAATTCATCTGTTCTGATCCACCTACTCTGATCGAGATGACTGGATCAAAACAAACCTAAAGCTTAAATAAGGACTTAAATGCATGATTGTACATAGAAATAAATGCTCTGGGGTGAAATTTGACATAAATCTTCGGCTGTGTCATTTTCATACAGATATCAACAAGTACTATGTGATAGTTTTCAGGCTCTATCAATCTATCCGTGGGCAGTCTTTTCTAGATTACTTCCCTAGTCTGACACACAGCACCAACTGGGTACATTTACTTTGTACCTTCTACTTTTGAATAATGAAATAAAATTATCAGACCAAATATGGGTGACATACTTGATGGCATGCTGCTCAACTGAAAAGCAAAGGAGTTATTATTCTATATAGAAATAAAAAAAAAATGCTGCTTCTTATTGGTGCATAGAATAAAAGGAAAGAAAGCAGGGAAATCTGTGTGTAGGTACAAACACAGTTTAGGAATTTGGTCGTACAGCTCAACACTCAAAACACACATTCTCTCATCAGTCTGAGCAAAACTATGAGGGTGAAAAATTAATAAAGTTAAAAAATAAATCGCTTAACCACAAACTGAGAAAGCACGTTCACCATCAAGCACAGCAAACGTTTAAAACCTATTCTGTCAAGATGCAAGACTCAAACAGCGCCAATTAGATAGATTGCAGGGGTAATTATACAGAAATGGCCAGCAGTGTGATGTTACCATAACACTTAAAACAGGTAACAAGAGGTAGTACACACGGCCATTTCCACACAATTACGCCGGCGTCACGCAAAACGGCCGAGCCTCTCGCTTCAATTGATTATCTATAAAAGTCACACCATTGCTATCAAAAGTGCATCCAAATTTACATGTTGTGAGACCAGCACCGATAAGAACAATATTGACATCATAACAGTAAATATCAAGTACAGAATTTTCAGAATGCCCCACAAACACAGTCAGTCGGATTTCTAGTTGCTTTTACAGGTCATGAGTACAAAGGGAACCATAGAGAGGTCATCAAAGGGAGAGAAAAGATCCAAAACATTATGATGCTTACTTGTTTTTTAGCATGCAACTACGGAGCCTTGTGGACCAGTCCAGTGAGGATTTAAGGTGTTTTACAGTGAAAACATCTAGCACCTAGAATCGAGATGTCCTTTTGTGCTTTCATATAATTATATATACCCTAAGAGCCTTCATCAGGAACTCAATGGGGATATTATATATATATATTATATATATATTATATATATATATATATATATATATATATATATATATATTATATATATATATATTTTTAAAAATATATATTTTTTTTTAATATTCATCATGTAAAAGTTCATAATCTTGTTTGGCTAGGAAAGACTGTGTGTTACAAAGGATCCACCCAATTTATAGGCTATAAAATCTACAATGTTACAAATGACCACATAAATACTTCATCCTATTAGAAAGGTATGAAGACGTTGATAAGCACTAAGAAACGCTACTAAATGCAATATGCTAAAAACAACATAAAAAGCCCTGATTATCTACCTCTAGAAATGACTCCAATTCATGTGAGATACCCACTGCTAAATCTCTTGGTTAAAAATGATGCATAGTTAGAAAAGATAAACTACTCGCCTCCACTCAAGACTATGTCAACATTCGCCTGCTTATAGCATTAGTAAAACTTAGGTGGGATATTATTATATAATAATGTTATTAGTAAGACATGACAGTCTTAAAAGGCCATATATTTGCATTTATCTGCATACAAAGACAATATTAATTTAGACAATTTTTTTTAACACGTGGGCCAGTTTTTTAAAAAAGAAAAAAAAAATCTATAATCTTTCAGCAGCTTCCACTGAAGGCTTATTCAAAATATACCTTATTACCAACATTACTAAATAGTATAAAGACTCACAAAAAAGTCATTTGCATAAAACCCAAGCTTTTGTGCGATGACAGCCCCTAGTTCTTGGAGCAAACACTACGTTAAAGAGGTTTTAAGGAATTTCAATCAGTTAAACTCTAAAATGTTGCAGCTTTGACTCCACTGTACCGAATGCCTGGTTACCGACAAGCCACACAAATGACACAGCAGAATACACGATCCTGTGTTATATACATTAAAAAAATAGAAGTAGGGTTGATGTGTATAAAGGGAGAAATAAACAATCATCACAAATGCCTAAAATGTCTAAAACATGAGCCAGCTACATGCATATCCATTGGAGAAAGTATTCAAATTTTAAAAAGTCTGTAAGAACAGATGCGAATCACACAGATTTTAACATGTTCCCCACTATGGTGACTTCCTAATCAAGTGTCTTTTGTCAACATGGCTCAGAATACATTAGAAATGTGTCCTTACTGGGAACCAGTCCCAATATATTACATCTCAGGTCACTGGTTTGTCAGTTCAGACTTAACAGTGGGGCAAAGGAGGAAAAAAAAATGTTTGTCCCCCCCCCAAATTTCTAAATACAAAAAGAGCTTCATTAAAAAAAATAAATTAAAAAGTGTAGATTCAGGGGTTAAACAAATCTGATGTCAAGATCATTAACTGTCAACAGAGTTGGCATAATAAGATCATCAGTGTCAAGAGGACAAATACTGGACTGGAAGAAAAATTCATTGTTTTACATAGAAGTGGCAAAAAAAAAGAAAGAAGATACTCTTAAATGGCACTTTTCATCACATAGTGCCCTATGTGGGGGAAAACAAACACAAACAACCCTCAATATATATATATATATATATATAAGTACTTTTGTCCTGATTGAAGCGCTCATCCTGGTCAGTGCACTTTGCTTTGATAGGCTGATAAATAATGTCTGTGGGGAGGACTAAATCATTAGGCATATAACAGTTAATGGACCCCCACATCTTTTGATTTTTGCCTTCTCCCTTCAAGCACCAAGAGCCTAATAACAAAACAAAAGGAGAAGGAGGGCGACTGGCTTCTTCTAAATGTGAAACCACCCCACTGTATACTGTTTCCGCCTGCTAGTAAAAAAAAAAAAAAAAGAAAGAAAGAAAATTCTTCTATTAACATACAAACTCTGCCTTGTCTTTTCATAATTTTCACCCTTTTTTTAAACAGATAACAAGTACAAATACAACTAATGCACGACATGTAAATAAAGCCTCTTCCAGCTCAATCCTCAAGAAAGAATGACTCTTTTGCATGTTACAGTCTAATTGCTGGAATGGTTTTGGTGGGTTTAAGTACAATTGTAGACATTTGGGTTACTGACATGTTTGTCTGGTAGGGAGATCACAATGTGAAACCACTGTAATGTTATCTACAGCTGACAGTGAGACAGCGGAGGGTAGTGCGTTCCATCAGTGATGTCTCACCCACGCCTTCCTGGGAGTTGGGTGCTCTCAGGCAAAGTACATGGTGCGCAAGGTGTCCTGGTGGACCTGAACAGCTTTGGCCAAGGCCTGGTGGTCACGCCCATTGCTTTGACCTGATGTGTGACTGCCCTCGGCACTGAAAGAGAAAAAAGTTGCAGAACTGTCAGTTTTTCCAACAAGGAGACAAACATCTGCAAACTAAGAGATTTTAATTTCTTCACCTGTCATGCTCTTTGTCCACCAAGTGATAGCGAGCCCGGAAAGCCACCAAATGGGCATAGTAAGCTGGTGCTGGGATGGACACTGACCGGGTGCAGCGCACATAAGTGTGACAAAGCTGGTAGGTAAGGACCTGCAGTTCATCTGATGAGAAGTGGTTGTCGTCCCAGAGCACGTGATAGTGAGACGGCCTGCTGGTTCCCTGTCCGGAAGTAAAGCGGATGTCAGGTATAATGGGTTGTTTTTAACTCACAATCTGCTTTCATTAGAAAACACAGTGGAAGACGCCTTTATCAATACATCTTATCCAACTTGACTTTTACCTGAATGCCAGCATGACTGCAAAGGTAGAAGTCAAACTCTGATGGGTGAGTTATTTTGGTGTCCACTGTGGTGCCCGCCGGAATGTTGCCGCTCTTCCCAACCTATAAAAAAAATATCCATGGAAATGTCTGTGAAGGTTCTCAGTCATCCAGGTCATTGTAGTCAAAGGAGCTTGCCTTTCTTTGCAAGCTCCTTTGACATCCATGGAAATGCTTGTTAAGCTGGAATTGCTTAAGTGCACTCTGACCCAACAAGCCTACATTACTCTGAAACCTCCCAAGCTGGTGAATATAAAAGAAAAAGCACGCACGCACGCACGCACACACACACACACACACGCACGCACACACACACACATCTGCACTCA